CCAAGTGGTGTATTAGTTTGTTCAGAAAATTATATTACATTTAAAAATTTTGGTGATCAACCAGATATTCGTTGTCCAATACCAAGACGTCGAAATGAAATTGATGATCGAGAACGAACAATGATTATTGTTGCAACAGCCACACATAAAACAAAAAATATGTTCTTTTTTCTTGTTCAAACAGAACAAGGTGATATATTTAAAATTACACTTACTCATGATGCAGATATGGGAATGGTAAGAAAACATTCAAATAGAAAGTTGACATAATAGTAAAGAAGAATAAGAGACGAAATAATGCAGAATAGGATGATTTTCATATTGAACGTGTTGCCATATGAATAAGTTGATTATAACATCCAGTGTTCACTTCTGATTCTGCTTATATTGTAACAAATGACGTTAGATCAAAACTAATATCATAGTTTAATAAGACTTTCGATCATTTTTTTAATCTCTAAGAAATCTATCGTTATCTTTTAGGTCACCGAAATTCGTTTAAAATACTTCGATACTGTACCTGTTGCTTCGGCCATGTGCGTACTTCGTACTGGTTTTCTTTTTATAGCTTCTGAATTTGGTAATCAGTAAGTACTTAAAAAATAAAATTCGATTATTTTGTATATTGAATTTATGTTTATTATAAATAGTTATTTGTATCAAATTACTCAATTAGGTGATGCTGATGATGAACCTGAATTTAGTTCATCAGAAAGACTTGAAGAAGAAGATACATTTTTTTTTGTACCACGTAAATTAAAAAATTTAATATTAGTTGATGAAATGGATAGTTTATCACCAATAACTGGTTGTCATATTGCTGATCTTGCTAATGAAGATACACCACAACTTTATGTAACATGTGGTCGTGGACCTCGATCAACACTTCGTATACTTCGTCATGGTTTAGAAGTAACGGAAATGGCTGTTTCAGAATTACCCGGTAGTCCAAATGCAGTATGGACTGTTAAAAAACGAGCTGATGATCCATTTGATGCATATATTGTTGTTTCATTTATTAATGCTACTTTAGTCTTATCTATTGGTGAAACTGTTGAAGAAGTTACAGATTCTGGTTTTCTTGGTACAACACCCACATTATCATGTAGTCAATTAGGTGATGATTCATTACTTCAAATATATCAAGAAGGTATTCGACATATTCGTGCTGATAAACGTGTTAATGAATGGCGTGCACCAGGAAAAAAAATGATTACAAGAGCAGCTGTTAATCAACGACAAGTTGTTATTGGTTTAACTGGTGGTGAACTTGTTTATTTTGAAATGGATACAACCGGTCAATTGAATGAATATACTGAAAGAAAAGAAATGCCTGGTGATATTATATGTATGGCTTTAGGTTCAGTACCAGATGGTGAACAACGATCACGTTTTCTTGCTGTTGGCCTTTCCGATAGTACTGTTCGAATTATATCACTTGATCCTCAAGATTGTTTAAGTCGATTAAGTATGCAAGCATTACCAGCTCCAGCTGAATCATTATGTATAGTTGAAATGAAAACAACTGAAGGTGGTGTTGTAGTTGATACAACAAGTGGACGTGAACAACAAGTTGGACCAAGTACAACTGCATTTTTAAATATTGGCTTACAGAATGGTGTACTTCTAAGAAGTGTTTTGGATTCAGTTACAGGTGATATGTCCGATACTCGTACAAGATATATTGGTTCAAAACCAGTGAAATTATTTCGAATTTTAATGCAAGGAAATGAAGCTGTTTTAGCTATGTCAAGTCGTACATGGCTTAGTTATACATATCAAGGTCGTTTTCATTTAACACCTTTATCTTATGAATCTCTTGAACATGCATCTGGTTTTGCATCAGAACAATGTCCTGAAGGTATTGTTGCTATAGCTGGTAATACTCTTCGGTAAGTTATATAATATAAAAATATTAAATTTTCATAAATATTATTATTTTTTTCTTTTTAAAGAATTTTAACATTAGAAAAACTTGGTGCTATATTCAATCAAGAAATTCGTAAACTTAAATTAACACCACGTCGTTTTATCATATATCCAGAAATGAATTGGCTTTATTTAATTGAATCCGATCATTTATCTTATACAGAAATAAGTAAACAACAAAAACGTGAACAAATAGGTAAAGATATGGTTGATGCAGCTGATGATGAAGATAAAGAAGCAACTAGAGAAGTAGCTAATGCAATGTTAGCAGAAAAAATTCCTGAAGAAGCATTTGGTGCAGCAAAAGCAGCAAATGGTATGTGGGCAGCACAATTACGTGTTATGGATCCAATTAGTGGTGAAACAAAATTTATTTATGAATTTGAACAAAATGAATCAGCTGTTTGTTTAAGTTTAATGCGTTTTGATACTCGTCCTGCTGATACATTCTTATTAGTTGGTGTTGCACGAGATCTTGTTCTTTCACCACGTTCACATCTTGGTGGAATGATTTATTGTTTTCTTGTATTAGATAATGGTGAAAGACTACATTTTATTCATAGAACGGTAGTTGATGAAGTTCCAACGGCAATTTATCCATTTCTTGGACGAGCTTTAATTGGTGTTGGATCAAGTTTACGTATTTATGAAATTGGAAAGAAGAAATTACTTAAAAAATGTGAAAATAAAGTATGTACAAAGAATTTTGTTTCTCTTTTAATAGAATCTTCTGTATAAAGAAATTTAATATTTTTATTCTAAAATAAAATATTGAAATCATATAGAAGAAAATTAATAGAACTGATTTTAGCTCGTTAAATGTTTCCATACATTTTAACGTGTATAAATCATTTACATGATATTCTACTTGATAGAATCTTCTGTATAAAGAAATTTAATATTTTTATTTGAAATAAAATATTGAAATCATATTAGAAGAAAATCAATCGAACTGATTTTAGCTCGTTAAATGTTTTTGTACATTTTAACGTGTATAAATTATTTACATGATATTTTATTTAACAGAATCTTCTGTCTAACGAAATTTAATATTTTTATTTTAAGATGAAATATTAAAATCGTACAGAAGAAAAGTAATAGAACTGATTTCAGCTCGTTAAATGTTTTTCATACGTTCTAACGTGTATAAATCATTTACATGATATTCTATTTAATAGATTTACAATATCTCTATCGAAATTTTCTAATTACAAATACTCTTATGCGGCTTTTTTCCTTCTAATACAAATTCTGTTTTTGATATTTAGAATATTCCTAATCAAATTGTTACAATACAAGCATTGGGTAATCGGATATTCGTAACTGATGTTCAAGAAAGTATACATATTCTTCGTTATAAACAAATGGAAAATCAATTGGTTACATTTGCTGATGATACATGTCCACGTTTTACTGTTGCTTGCTGTTTATTAGATTATAGTACTGTATGTTTAACCGATAAATTTGGTAATATTGCTATTTTACGTATTCCTGTGGATGCTAATGATGATATTGAAATTGATCCAACTGGAAGTAAAGGTTTATGGGATCGTGGTTTATTGAATGGCGCATCCAATAAATGTGAATTACTTGCTCATTTTCATGTGGGAGAAATGGTTACATCCGTTCAACGTGCTATGTTAATTTCAGGTGGATCTGAATCTCTTGTTTATACGACGTTATCAGGTTCAATAGGTGTACTTATACCATTTGCATCAAATGAGGTAAAAACCAAAAGAGAGATATTCTAGTGTCGGTGATGAGACATGCCGATGCTAAACAGAGGTTTAGATAATACTTCTAGTCTAACTGGTTTAGAACAACTACCCGGATAGCAGAAGGTGCAGGTTCGAGTCTCTCAAAGGTCATGTTTTGCTCCATTCATGCATATATGATACCTTTTCTGTCCCTATGAGTTACAAGATAAAGTTATGTGTGAAATGATGATCAAAAATAGTCGTTTACAATTCGGATAAAGAATGACGATAACTTTTCTTACTAGTATCTGATCACACATTAAATATTTTTCTTTTTTTTTCATAAAAATGATATATGAATAATGTTGAACTTTTTTTTTTCTTCGAATAGGATTATGACTTTTTTCAACATCTGGAAATGCATATGCGAGCTGAACATCAAACATTACTTGGCAGAGATCATTTGGCTTTTCGATCGTATTATTATCCAGTTAAGGTAATTATACCGATTTTTGATATAATGGACACTACTTATGAGTTAGAGTATATGTATATGTTTATTTCAAATATAAAGAACCACGCCCAAATTTTCTCATTATCTTTCCTTCTATATTATAACGAACGATAGTCAACATAGTAACAAAAAAAGTACGAAATGTAAGGACGAATATGAGAGTGTACAAAGGGTAGATCACACCATACAGGTGTGATGCATGCATGATAGAAGGGCAAACTAATCACGTACTTTCGAAGTACACATATAACGAGAAAGGTACTTAGATAAAATAATTAGAAGGAAAAAAGTCAGGAGCGAAAGAAAATAGAAGTACAATAACGGTGTCGCATTCATTTTTACCTGGAGATAAATTATTTCAGTAATAAAAGAGAAAAATAAATTACTAATGAATAGATGGCCGCTATTATTCTACTTTATTAACCTAATTTAAAAAAAAAGATCATCATACAAAAAAAAAAGAAAATAACATTTTTAAAAAAATATATCTTTTCTTTTTTTTATAATCATTTAGAATGTTCTTGATGGTGATCTTTGTGAACAATACAATCATCTTGATATAGCCAAACAAAAAATGATTGCCGAAGGTCTTGATAGAACAGCTAGTGAAGTTGCCAAAAAACTTGAAGATATTCGAACACGCTTTGCTTTCTAGTCAATAACCATGTCGAAAAACAAAAACCTTAACTTTTTTTTTGTGTCTCTTCGTGTTTTTTTTTCTCATCCTGTATTAATGTTTGTATTCATAAATGTTGTTGATATAGGCAATCCTTATTTGAATAATTGATTTAAAACAAAAAAAAAATCACATACACGTAAAACTGACTTAAATAATATCTTAATAAAGATAAGTAAATAAATTAAACATTTGCATCTATAAAATAACCAAAGCGATAACCAAGATTTACCACCGTTTGTGGCATTCCAATTGATTGTAAACCATAAGCCAGAAGTCCACTAAGCCCAGCATTCATTATTGTAGGTCTTTGAGTCATAAAGAAAGTATATCTTCGATCACGAAAAGTCGGAAAATATGAACTTTGATAATAATTATAAGATGAATTAGCAACATAATTGTTCATCTCTCTTGCAACTCTAAAGAAGTGGTTAAGCACGTATGGATTCATACCTGTACCGTACATATTGGTAATAACACGTCGAGTTTAATAAATGAATAGATGAATGAGTGAATGAAGGTGAAAAAACAAGCTTTGTTTTTATGCATATATATATAGTTGCGGTGTATTGACAATTATAAGATCGATCAGGTGAAAACAGTATTTTATTAGGGAGACAAATTTTAATCAAACGGCCGGCATATGAATATAACACAAGTCAACCGTATCCGAGTGCATTATGTGATGTGAATGTATTTTTTTCATTCAACCTTCGAACCTATATTATTTAATTGTATATGAAATGATGTTTGATACGTCAAAATATGAGAATACACTCAGACAGAAAAAAAAATAATAAAGCGAAAAGAAGCTTATATTTATCTGTGTGCATTTTTAATGTAATACAAAAAGGTATTAGCTATATTTCGACTAATTGCATCAAATCTATGAAAGACATCAAAAATAAAACGCTGAATAGAGTAGAATTTAATTATATTTTCTAGAAAAAAATAAGAAGATTGTATCAAGTCCATTTATAGTTTTTATTATCGTATTCAAATCTTTTAGGTCGTATGAAATATCTAGATTATCTAAAAACTAATTTTTCTATTTTCGACCCATAAGAAAAATCTGCTATTATGATGTATTTGATTTATCATTAAGTATTTATGAAAAAAAATCGAAATTACATCAAAAATAAAATCTTTAATTAGTCATACTGTATTTATCTGATCAGCCATCCTTTTCTTAATTGCATTATATATTCTAAATAGATTGGTAAAAGCAAGAAGGCCTGATATTTTCTAAACTTGAATATTTATCCTAATAATAGGAATGAATAACTCTGACCTTCTGATTCAGCTGAATAATAAAATATGACAGATGAATAAAAAGAAAATTTTCTTGTCAATATCAATAAGACCAAAATACGTCATATTAATGATGTTTCAGGTACTTTATGTAAATATTATCGATCAAAGTTCATAAATATCGAATTTATTTTTTATAATATTGAAAAAAAATCCACTCGTTTGCTTATAACATCTTCTAAATAGAATGTTTATTGTCTCTCTTCCAGTATGAAATCAATTATTTCAAAAGATCTTCTCTAATATTATTATCAAATATACATATTTCAATTTTTGATATTACTGTTACAAAGTAATCACGTGATCTTAATAAAAAAAACAGAAACCTAATAGTTAAATGAAAGGACATACATTGATTTTCGTTAGAATTAGAGTGTGTAATTTAATAATATTGATTTAGCCGTGATAAAAAAAATAAAAAAGTATTTACGAATATAATATAAATCAAATGATGTATGATTGTATTTTTCATTAAAACTGATTAGTTCTCCTTTATTTTGAACAAATTATAAAATTAAACAAATTTATAAATTTTGTTATATATGAAGATTATGTTTTGAGTTTTTATCATAATAATATGTTACTATAGTTTGAATTATATGGTTTATACTGGGTCTTATTTTGCTTTTTGTATTTCGATAATTCTTTTTTCTCTCGTTTTTTTTTCTTTTTACCGATAACAATATTGCTCCATGTTGTCTCATTTTATATGAGGGTATTGCTGTTCTATAAGTTTGTATTTCTATATCGTATATGGTAGAAACATATGCGACCTAACGTTTAGAGAAGAATAGTCGTTAGCTGTATTATAATAGAAGCGGTGGCTAAAGAACTAAAGAAATGAAGACACAGAAACAAGAAGAAGAAGAAAAAAGTAATTTTTGTACTCTCTATCTAGTCTTTTTCTCATATAACTACAAATTCTAAACGAGTAGTAGAATGCATGAAATGTTAATCTTAACGAGAACATCATACATACACTATAGTAACTTACATTATAAGGTAAGAACAGAATATTCAATGAAATTTATTGGATCAAAAGAATTAAAAAAATATCCGTTTGAATAGATTAGTCATTGAATAAATAAAATGCTTTTTATCCTGTTATATTTATGACAATATTGTTACTTTATAACCTCCAAAAAAAAAAAAGAAACGGAAATACTTTCGCTTTTTCTCATCTCTTTTTTTTCTTCTTCATTTGTCCCTTATATATGGCAACAGCTGCTGCTGCTTGTATTCTATACCTTTAAATGCAAACGTCAAATGTTGCCCTTCTTTTCTTAACTCTTTTAGATATTCTAGATTGTATCAGTTAAATAAATATCTATAACAAAAAGCAACTATGTTCATACTCAAATTCAAGTATGTAACACGATGAAAAGAAATGAACTAGTTTTCTTTTTATATATATCAGCTTTATCTTTTTGAACTTTGAAAATTTATTTACTTAATCAAAAAATAACAATTATATATATATTTTATTTATTCCGTTCTTTTAATGTATTAATCATAAAAGGCGTACGATTTATATTGACTTTAAACATACATTACTTATGCAATTCTAATCGATTATTCATCTGATTTGACTCATTCTTATCTACTTACTAAAGTACTTCATCGTTTAATATTTGCTAAGAAAATAAACTAATATTTATACATAGTCTAGATAACATGATAGAATATTAGAAATACAAATCATATCCGGTCTGTAATGATACTAGCAGATATTTTTGTAGGAAAAAAAAAACATTATTCCGAAATAGACGCGTTTAAATACTAGAAAAGTTTTGACCGTCTTCCGAAATAAAGAAAACATTGTTATGACACATCATAATTAGCATAATAATGTGTCTAACTTTTACTCGATATATTTCTTATCTTATCAGAACAGTAATAGATTGCTTGTAAACGTGTGTTGTATATGTATGATTGACAATCAGAAAACACGATTAACATACACAAGACATAAAGTTTATTCATACTTGGGATTTTCTATTTATATCTGATATTGATTTCAAACAGTAGCAAAATAATGAAAATCTTTTTAAAGATTGTATATCGCAATGTTTCAAGAAAAGTTTTAGATCATCGTGTTATTAATGGAAATACTTTTTCTATTAACTATATACATGTTTAGATTATTATCGAACTAGTTTTCTATTTATCTGATTATCTCTATTTAGTTCCTCGCTTGCATATTTCCTTTACTAACTGTCTGCCTATGGGTCTAATCACATGCGTACCAGACTATGAATGTCACGATGTTCTGATCTAGTTATTTACTTGAAAATTTAACTTTCATGAAATGATAAAACATCGAAATATGAAAACGAATAGCAATATTTTTATTTGACTCTTCTTACTTTCTACATTAATTATATACTACCCTATTTTGTCTGCTTAGATGAGTTCACATCTGTCTACTTTTTTTAAAGATAAAAGATGTTCTGTAAGATTAAAAGTAGAAAACGTATCAATGCAGAATAAAGAATCAGGTAAATTTATAAAATGAAGCGAAAAGATTATAGGAATATAGAGATGATGAAATAAGCAACAAAAATTATCAAATTTCACACTCGTGAGATCTTTTTATTCTCATTAGGAAAAAGTTAATCTTCATTGTATTAACAGAGGCGTCATCTAAATAAGACAAAAGAAGCTTAAACTCAAGCATGAGAATCTAATCTCTTATTTTATATCGCCGATGACCATGAACATAAATCTAAGATTAGGTAATACATTTTCACTATTTCACACATATGAAAATTTCCGTGTTCGTAACTCTGAAAAGATGTTACTTTGAGTAAGATTGTATATAATGAATTATACATCTAGTACATGTCGTTGTTAAAAAGACAATAATGAAACATGCAACGACACATTTTAATGACATCCTTTATTAAAATAGTTGAATTGCACGTTACACAATAGTATAAAAATTACTGACTTACTTTAAGTAAAGAAAAAATCTACACATGAACTAATTAATTAATCATAATTTTTCCTATATATAAATATACGTCTATTGAAAATTTTCAGTAATTTAGAAAGTACATTAGTTTGAAAAGCTCAAAATAAAAATGTTGACTGCAAGTAAATAATACCCAAAAATATTGTGTATTGAAATAATCTAACATGTCAGTTTATCTAGTTAATAAAACATTCTTTTTTTTTCTTTGCATGTATTTAAATGCTTAAAAATTCGATTTTTACAGCGCTTATTCAAGGTTTTAACTGCTTCGATTGTTATAAATATTTATAATTAATATCATGTCATTTATCCTTTCATCTAGAACTGTCAATGGTCTCAGATGGTCGTTTATTTTTATTCGTAAGTGTTTCTCTATTCTTGAAATTAATATCATTTATTATTCTATTATAGTTTTATTTTTAATTATCTATGTGTCAGTCAGTCAATTATCAAAAGCAAGTTTATATGGTGTTGTTAATATATTTACAGTTGATTTTAATGATAATTCATATGAAACACTTCATACAAATGAAAGTCATATGTTACTTGAGAATTTTTTACAACGAGAATTTGAATTATTAAGTAATCAGTTAAAAATACTTTTTGTACAAACATCTGAAAATGAAGATATTATATCACGACATGCTTGTTCAATTGAATCAGCAGCACGATTACATCCAAATGGTCTTATATTTATATTTATGCGTAGTAAATATATTCATTTAAGAAAAGGTGCATTTAATCGTATACGATCATATACAAATATACGTTTTGTTCATTTTAATGAATATGATATTTATGCCGGTACAACATTATCTCGATTGAATGAAACTAAACGTACACAATTTATTCATTATTTTGCTATATCACATATGAGTGATTTTATTCGTACAGCACTTTTATATAAATATGGTGGAATTTATTTTGATCTTGATGTAATACCATTGAAAACATTTTCTTCATTTATTAATACAGTTGCACTTGAATCAATCGATGGTGTTAATGTTGCTGTATTAGCATTTGAAAAACAACATTTAGTATTAGATATACAAATGGATATACAATTAATGTTAGTTAATAAACAATTTAATACTTTATGTTGGAATTGTGTTGGACCATCAGCATTATCTGATGCTTTAAAACGTGTTTGTGATGATAAAATCTTACATATACATTCAAAAGAGAAATGTCATGATATTGATATTCAACCATCATTTGTTTTCTATCCTATAAATTATCATGTAAATAAATATATTTTTGCTTCTGAATATTTTTGTTCTTCTTTATTTTTTAGCAAATTCCAACATTTTTTCATTATTCAAAATCTTCAAATGATATTTATGATCTATTAAAAAATTCAAGTATTTATTCTATACATTATTTTCATCATATGACAATGAATTTACCTATTGAAAATTTCTCACCATTTGTTCGTATAGCACAAATATATTGTCCATTTGTTTATGAACAATTAATTGATCAAAAAGAATTTCTATTAGAAAAAACTAAAACATCAAAATATTTTTTTACTAATTTCAGTATACTTTTATTCGGTTTAAGTATTTCATTTTTATCGATTTTCATACTTTTATTAACCGGTAGTTTTTTATCATATCTAACTTCAATACGTCTTATGTTATTGGCATTACAACATAAATTTAATGTTCCTATTTAAACAATTTTTATTTGTTCAGGTGATGGATATATAAAAAAATGAATCTATGTCAGATGTTTATTATTGGTTGTTTTTTTTTGTTTATTGTAATGAATTTATTGTAAATAGTACGCATGTATTCATTTATATATTATAATTGCATAATAATACAGTGATGTTAGTCGATATGATGGCATTTAAATTCGTTTTATGACGGAAAAATAAAATAATTAATGAAAACGTTATTTTATATATTAACTTTCAGTAAAAGGAAAAAAAAGGTGACGAGTGTCGAATTAATCCATGATTGTGGTCCCGTGAAGGACCGAATGTAATGCTTCAGGCTCATAACATGATATTATATCTTAATCACAGATTGCGGCTCGTCTCTTTCTATCAACATTGAAACTCTATTTCAGTTGTAAAAATTTAGAGATTGTGCAATTCTTCTTTTCTTATGTCACGTATTTCAGGTAGTTATTGCACAAGCAAAGAGTTACGTTATTTTGGTAAATCTATTATTTTATTTTATTTCTAATTCGGGTAAAACACATTTTAAAAACTCCTGTGGTCGTTCTGAATGTACCCAATGACCAGCATTTGGAATTCGAATTAGACGATGTTTAGGAAATAAACGTTCCATGATAGGGATTGCTTCATCACTAAAATATAAAAGTTAAAATTAAATTAATCTTTTACGAAAGATATTTTTGTTAATACTTTATATAATTTGATTTTCCTCCACCAATAAATAAAGTTTCAACATTCGTTGTTGCATTATCAAATTCCTTGGGAAAATGCATAATATCGTCCATATATTCTTCAAGAACTTCTAAATTTGCTCGCCAAACAAATTGACCACTCGCTTCATCATGAACAATGAGCATTAGAAGAAAATCGCGAATACTTTTATTCTATACAAAAACAAAAAACGTTCATTTTTGTTCTTTATAATCGAAAAATAACCTTTAATGATTCAACTGATGTTTGTAATATTTTATCCATAGCACGTCTTGCCGCTACTATATCTTTCTCGTGTTGTATTTTATCGATATTATCCAGTAAAATTCGATTATATAATGGAATTTCACCTAAAGATGCACTTACGGTTGGTGCAATATCAACAACGATTAATTTTCGTAGAAGTGCCGGCTATATCTAACAAGAAAAACAAACAAAACTACATTTTTTTTACAAATAATTACTTCTTGTAAAGCAACAAGCATTGACGCTTTACCACCCATACTATGACCCATTAAAATTGTTTTTGGTGTTTTATGTTTTCGAATTGTTTGCATCAAATCCGACGCCATATCAAAATATGTCATAGATGCTGTATGTGGAGAATCTCCATGATTGCGCATATCAACTGTGACTACCTAAACAATCAAAGAGTAAAAAGGAAGATTAATTTTTTGTATTTTTCTAACTTTTATATTTGCACGATCACTAAAAGCTTTTGCTAATGATCTCCAATTAGTACGAAAACCAAAAAGACCATGTCTAAATACCGATATGAATTATTATTGAAACTTAAAAGATAAACTGAAGGGTATAGTTTTTAAATCTAACATATAATTCATCAATCAAAATTATGTTACTAGGATGAAACACAGAAAATTAAATAAACATACGCGATGATCAAACATCGCTCTGGATCAGCTGTTCCATTTGATGGATTATAGACATCTTCGACTAATGTGACTGGTTTTGGTATTCTAAATAATTCAATAAATAAAAAATAATTTAACTGAGTTACACCTACGATGTATGTTGATATCTAGCTAGAATGATTTGATTTTTAGCATTATAAGAAATGAAAGACGAAAGAATTTTTGAATATCTATTCATCTGCAATCAGAATAGAAAATATTTGTTTATTTTGAAATTTTTCTTCATGCTTTGCTTTTATTTAAATAAAAAGTAAACTCATCAAATCCAAGACCACAGAAAAAGAAAGAAAAATAACCAGAGAGAAAAAAGAAAAAGATAATGATGGTTTATGTAGCTTTCGCACGTGTTGCAGCACGTTTTCCAACTTGAGCTTGAAAACCAGTCTTGATACCAGAAACAAAATAACGTGAACGACAATTATTACATAAAAGTACGGATAAACGTTCTTCTTTTTGTAATAATGTATCAGGTGAACGACATGTTTTACAAATAACATATTCCTCTAGAAAATATAAACATAGTGCAAAAATATATTTCAATAAATTTTTGTTTACTGATATATGATCGAAGTACACTTTCAATTTGTTTCTGTTGAAAACGGCCTTTGATAATCAATGCATTATTAGCATCAATGGAACCACTACAAGAGATAAATTATGATGAAAAAAACAAACAAATGTTCAATGTAACATACTTTGTACCCAATTCAGCAAGTAAATATTGATGTAAATGTTTTTCTTGACGTTTAAGGCTAAAAGTTATATTTTCGTTTATTGTCAAATTCTTTAATAGAAATATATAACTTACGATTTACAGATCTCACCAAAATTGGAAAATGATGTACGTTTAGTACCAATACGTGCTACTTGTGGTGGTTTTAGAGTTAATTTGATTTTTTCACCTTCAATTACATTGGGGTTCTTTTCACGGATGATATTAAATACTCGAGATAATAGCTAAAACAAAATCATATAGATTATATATAGACATATCTGAGAAAATAGTACTAGAGACTTATCTAATCTCAATCAATAACCTTGTAACAAATTTTTAATTGAACTTACATCATCATAAGTGTATTCTCCTTGCACAGATGTTGCATCACTAGTGGTTTCATCACCAGTTGCACCTGCTGTAGTTTCTTTCTAGAAAAATAATTTGTTTTTATAATTATTCTGAAATTTCCTGTGTTTTATTTACTTGAATATCAGTATCACCAGCCGTTCCGGCTGCATCACGGGCTTTCTTCTTCTTCTTTTTACGAGTTGCAAGAACATCATCCTCATCATCATCTTCACCAGCAGCACCTCCTGCTGCTTGCTCAGTATTTATATTTTCTTGATTCTAAACAAAATATATTTATTGATTAAAATGAATAATATATTCAAATTTTTTATTTACTTCAGACGATTCTGTTGCAAAAGCGACATTTTTACTTTTTCTTTCTTTTGTCGATGTTGTTGATTGTTCATTTGGAACATTTTCATCATCTTCTTTTTCAGCAGTCGCATCATCTCTTGGTTTCTTCTTCTTCTTCTTTTTACTCAAATCGAATATTGACTAGAAATCAAGAATAAATCCCATTTAATTATTATAACAATAAAATTGAAACTTACATCATCAGGTGCATCACCTCCATCGGCCATTGTTTGTTAGTCTTTATTAATAAAATAGTTTCTTCCTTGTCAATTCGTAATAAATATATATATACTAAATTCTGATGCAATCGTCCAAAACGATTTCCTATTGGTTTAAATCGAAAAACCATTGATCATTAATACTGACCTCTAGAATAATATTAAAATATGAAAAATAATTTTTTTTCTTTAAAAAAACAAATTTATTGAATTAATTCGAAATCTAATCAATAAATAATTTCTTCTAATATTTAATTTTCGTCAAAAATAAACTATTAGCGACGTATATTATTAAAATCATTGAAAAACTAAATAAAATTTTCAAAATAATTTTTCTTAAAAAATTTCAAGAAAATTATATTTCAACTAGACCAATAAATAAAAATTGTTTATTTTTTAATTTGTTGACATATTGTTTTTTTTTAACGTTCTTTCTCCGATTTGTTTGTTTGCTTCGTCTCTCTACTTCATTCTTAAACACAAAATCAGTTCATCAACAAAAAAAAAGATATTTCTCCCAGTTTTTCTTTCTTTTTTCTATACGATACTGTTGTTTTGTACATTTTATTAAGTATTTTTTTTTCAAGTCAAGTATATCGAAACATACAGGTAGATTTCAAACAAGAAAAAAAAATCCATGAACTTTAACATTTTTGTTCTGTTTAGTTACAAGTTTATTTCATGTGATCATCTTTTTTGTATCTCTTCCATACGTCGCCGTGTTGATGGTGCTTGCATAAATTATACTTTAAAATAATAATATTTATATAAAAAAACCCAAGAATTTTGTTTTTTGCTCCCTTTTGCGAATGGCTGAAATTGTTGATTCATGTTGTGTGCCAACATCAATGGCAGTACAATTAACAAAACCTGATAAAAATAATAATACAACGGCTAATGTTGATGATGGTTGGGAAAATAGTTATTGAGGAAATTAAGAGACATATTATTCATTTGTTTATTTTTTTGTAGGTATTATTTTACCGTCTGAACAGTGTGATGTTACTGAGGATGGAACAGATGAGAAATCTGAAAGTGTAAGTTTTTTGCATATAAATCAATCTGCTTGAAAAAGAAAGTGACATGTCATAAAAAAAGTTTTCTTAATTGATGAAAATGTTCTGTTAATGAGTGAAGAAATATTGTATATAGTAAAATCTGTCTTATGTCAAGTATACTGATTGACTATAAAAATGTGCTTGATCATCGTTCATAATAAACATTTATATTAAAGAGAAACTATCGTCAACAAAAATTGGTTCATCGACTTAAGACTATTCTACTTTAAGCATTGTATCATGTATTTTTTATTTATTAGATCGGTGATAGCGATGATCGTCGTCTTTCATCCGGTGGTGATGATGATGGAAATAATAATGATAATAATAATACGATTGCAACTGAGATCACAACAGTTGGCTCTTCATCAACATCGTCAAATAATGAAACTGAAGTACCTATAAATAATGAATCAACTATTAATAATACAAATACATCTACCAATAATAATAATCCAACTGATCCATATAAAGATTTTTCAGGTGTTGATACAGAATCTTTTATAGCAACAACATTACGTAATAATCCAAAAGATCGAACATTACTTTTACAACTTGAAACACTTCTTCAACAATTTATTCAAGATGATGAACAAATATCACATCAATTTCAAGCGATGAATTCATGTACGAAAAATTTCGCTTTTCTTTTCAATTCATATTTTATTTCATTTTTGTTTATAGATGAACGAATGATTGTTCATCGTGTTGCAGCATTTTTTGGTCTTGATCATAATGTTGATAAAAATGGACAAGCTGTTGTTGTCACTAAAACACCAAATACTCGAATGTAAAAATATTTCATTTATTTATCAACAATATTCAATTTTTCTTTTAGCCCTAACTTTTCATTTCAAAAATGCATTCCAGAAGATGAATCAACCGATATAATAAGTGGTGCTTCAACAACGACAACAACAGAAAATCCAATCACATTAACAAATCAAACTGAAATTCCAACACGTCGTATTTTACGTCGACATGAAAAAAATTTTAATCATGATCATTCTCAACGGAATGGTCTTCATGATGAATATATTAATCAACAGATATCATCAACAACAAAAACTCAACCATTATCAAAACCATATTCCGAACGTGTAAATAATTATGCTGAAACACGTGCTAGAATATTTAATGACACTAGTGAATCATCAAATACAGCAATAACAAATAAAAATATGAAACTTAATCAAAAACAACATTCAGGTTTTATTCGACCATCTTATCGAAAACAACAACAGCAACAACAACAACATCAGAACAGTTCACATCAACATCGTTCTTATACATATCAACATTCACAACAAACAACTAACAATCATATGCAACAGTATTCAACTGGAAAAACAATAGATATACCTAGTCATATGCTCAATACTTCGACAACTAGAACTCCATCTATTTATTCAACACAACAACCACCATCAGCGAATCTTAACATAGCACAACAACCAATCTATGCCTCAATGATAGCATCAAATCCTGGTACAGGATCATTACGTACACCAACTAGTACTTCTTTTTATACTCAATCACAACCACAAATTGTTGATTATGATTATAAACAACAAGCGGGTGGAGCACATATGTATAATTATGTCCCTATGATACCTCCATCAGCATCGAATTTTATTCATCAACAACAACAACAGACACAATCATTACATCCTCAACAACCAACTACATCAGCAACAGCTGGTCCAAATCAAGTGCCATCACAACATGGAGCTGGTATTCCAATGCCTATATTAGTTCATCAACAACCAACTGGACAAATACAATATATATTTCCTGCTCATGCTTTACAGCAACAACAACAACAACAGCAACCTCAACCACAAACAGCAAATCCTTACCCATTAACACCTGATGGTCAATATGTTCAGGTAAATATTTAAAAATATTTTTTTTCTTCATTTATTAACCGTACAGATAATTATTATATTTCTTTTTTTGTTTAAATAGCTTTATCGACCAGATACATTATCTATACCATCTGGTCCACCAACAGGACCACCTCCTTCAATTGTTGACAGTAATAATTCACATCATCACCAGTTTTCTCAAAATCAATCTTATCATCACCATCAAATCTCTCAACAACAGCCCTCGCAACAACAACAACAAGTCCCACCTTCTCAGTCAAATTCTGCACTACAACCACCACCTTTCGTAAGAATATATCCTACAGGACAAACAGGTAATGTTTCACATCAATTTGCTCAAGCAACTTACCAAGCACCTCCGCCACAACAACAAACAACATTTGTTCAACCAGGTAAAATATTTAAAATTAAATTTTATTATTTTATAAAATTAAAATAGGCACTATTCCAACACAATCTTATATGATTCCTCCTCCGCAAAGTGCAGGTGGTGTTCAAACTTATCCAACATATGATAATAGTATACCATATAATACTTATGGTTCAACAACTGCAGGAAAATCTAATGTGAATAATAATGGAACATCCGTACAATATGCAACAAATCATTTATCAACATTGAATTTACAAGGCCAACATGATGAGTATCAAACACGTTTAATCAATAATCAACAAACACGTTATTCTCATCCGAATGGTTCAACAATGAATAATCAACAACAAAGAAATTTTATGGGACGACCATTAGTTCAATCACCAAATGGCTCAGCAGCAACACCTCGTATGGCTGTTTATTCAACATCAAATCAACAATATCGTCACACCCGTCCATTAAATATATCAAACACTGATAAACAAATAACATCAATCGAGAATGATCCGAAATCTTTAGTATCAACACAACAGCAGCAACAACCACCACAAACTAATTCCGATAATATGTCGCTGGCCGGTCCAGCACAAGGTAAAAATTTATTCGATTATATATTCTTTTTTTTTTTAAATAAATTATTCTATTTTATATATAGAGTGATCAAACAATGGCTCTTCCTTCAATGCACATCCACACACATAGATACACACACGTATATTAACGAGTCGATAAAAGTCTTTCTTGTTTCTCCTCTCAAAAAAACAACAGCAGACGACCCGGCCACAATTCACTAGTCAATCATCTCTCGTTCTCTTTTCTTCTTGCATATCTCAGGGTCTGAAAGCTGTGTGTGATGTATGTGTTTATCAATGTGCCTTTTGTGCGATACTCTGTGAGAATAGTCTCGGATCTCGATTGTTGCGTATATATATATATGTGTGTGTGTATGTGTAGATTGTTGACTAATGGGCAATGGCATAGACCGATTACTTATATCTTCCTCTTTTCTTTCTTTTTCTTTTTCTATCTCTTTCATTTCTTTATCGCTCTTTCCTTCTTTTCTATTCTACTTTTCTTCTTTTTTTTGTTGTTCTACAACGACGATCATACATACAAACGGCAGAAAAAAAAGAAAAAAAAGACATATAAAAAAAAAAACCAAAAAGTCAAACATCAATCTTCTTGTAAACTAAGTGTAATTTGTTTGTCTACTTTTTACATATATACGAAAGATTCAAAAGAGAAAAAAAAACAAATGATGATAGAAACAAAATCAAAGTTTTTTTTTCCTTTTACTATTAAATTAATCTTTTCTCATCAATTATACATATATACAGAAGAATATTACGAAAACAAATAATTTATCATACAATATGTTATGTATAGACTTTTTGATAATGTGAATATAAATGTAGATATTAGAAGGAAAACGATAGACAATATGGTCTAATGCACAAAGGAGATTATGAAAATAAAAGAAAAACTAATAATGGTTTGCGTCTTTTTTATTCGGTTGATATATCAGTTATTGCTTTCGGCATACGCAAATGAAGAAAAAGATCGAGGCAACATTGTTTTTCTCTAGAATATGTACTAATACAGTTTAGGCACTCGCTGTGTTATTTTCTTGTTTTTCTCGTCAATATTCTGCAACGACGACGAAGACGACCGATGCCGTTTTCTCAACGTTATCTGGATCGAAAGGTATTTATTTAAATGTCAATATAACTTAATATTTCCTTAGTAACAAACATAAAAAATAAATATTTATATATACACAAAAAAAAGTTGTCTTATTTCGATTTTTATGTATTTATGATTTTTATTTTATCATCACCAGATTGATACTAAAGCACGCGCAGCTAATATGGGCGGTGAAATGTCACTTGTATTGCCACATCTCTATCTGGGAGCATTGAAAGATCGAACAAATAGTACATTGATGACAAAAAATCAAATAAAACGTGTTTTATGTATTATTGATGTACCAGATATAATCGTCGATAAAGAATATAAACCTACACATTTATTAAATATTCAAGCGGCTGATGCACAAGAACAAGATTTGGCACAATATTTTGAAAAATGTATTGAATTTATTCATCAAGCAAGAACTGAACATGAAAATATTCTTGTTCACTGGTAAAAGAAAACGTTCGAAAATCCGTATAAATTTATTTTTGTCTATAGTTACGCAGGCATATCGAGAAGTGCAACAGTTGTGTTAGCATATTTAATGACTATTGGTGATTATGATGTAGACAAAGCTATTCAAATTGTTAAAGGTGCTAGAGGTTTTATTCATCCAAATCCTGGATTTTTATCACAATTGAAAAGATATCAAAGCAATGATGTTAAAAAAGTATGTTAATTTTGTATAATAATATAGTCATATTTTATTATTGTTTTGAGTTAGAATTGGTATCGTTTAACTCGACGTTATCAGTCGTATTCATTTGATAATGGTGATGTGCATTTTGTCAAAAGTTCATTAGATATTTATTGGCAACAATTTGAACCTGCTTTTATTGCTGAACCAGTTTATTGGTCAACGTAAATTTTCTAGTGTTTCTCTTCATCTGAGCATGCATATACCCTTTTCAATATTTCCATTAATTTAAACAGTTAAATTAATAATGTTTCGATTTTTTAGACGCAAAGAAAACTCGAAAGAAAATTCGGCAGTCCCCTACGAACGGAAGATGATCTGCACATGTGTGACGACAACGAGCGTGTCTACGAGCGAATGATCAATGAAAATACGTTATCCCAACAACAACAGCAATCATCAAATGATGAATTAAATACACATTCGAGTATTTTTTTTCTTTTATTGTTCATTTTTCTTTTCGATTATTATATATATATAATGTATATAAATATTATCCTATTATATAGTCGCTGAACAAATAATCGATAATAATCAAGAACAAAAATTAAAACGAATTATACCTACTAATGAGGAAAAACTATTAACATCTAACATCGTTGATCAACAAACAGAAAAAGCACTTATCATACCTTCAACAACAAAACGTTATCAAAGTTCTAAGGTCAAAACTAATAGTTCGAGGACAATGGGAACGAAATAATCATTGAAATTTTCGAAAAAAAGATTCTATGCACTAATAAATTAAGGATTGTAATCATTTTTGATAGATAACATAAATAAAATCGAAAGGACTAAAAGTTCGCAAATAGGAATATTCATCGAATATTCTCGTTTTTTGTCTTATTCTTTTCTTTCTTCTCCTCTTTCTTTTTTTTCGTATGTTACTCATTTTGGAGTTGTTGTTGTTTCTATTCTCGCATTTTTTATCAAGTTTATGTCAATATAAGATACCTTTATGATATCGAATTGTCATCAGTATAGTGACACACATGAAAAAAAAAGTTACTCTTTATTTAGTTCGAATAAAAGAAGAGTAGACAAAGGATAAAAAAGACTTCAAATTTCGAATATCAACCAGACGCATTTATTATCATGCATTTATTATTCTATTTATTTCTCATTTTTGTCACACAAACAACATCTATCCCTATTAAAGAAACTCTACTAAGTATTCGATGTAATGTTTTACATCAAAATTGTACTTTTATGCCACAAAATTCATCATCTACCTATTATCAAAGTGTATCATCAAGGACAACATCTCGACAACGTTCGACAACAAAATCTAGTTCTTTAGCTGATTTTGATGAATTTAGTGAAAATTTAAAACGTGCTGCTTTAATATTAGCAGGTATTGCACTTTGTCTTGGTATTTTTCGTGTATGTTTAATGTTGTGTAAATCTCGATCTCGAAATAATTCAATTTCTGATCATCATTTACCTCCTACTCGATCGAATGTATCTACTATTGAACAGCATCAATTTAAACCAGATTTACCACCAGAATATGCTGAAGCTATAGCTAATATAGAACATGATAGTAATAAATTACCATCTTATGATGAATTACCATATGATCAACGACAAGAACAACATGTATATAATAATGATGGATTTATTTCAACACAAATGTAAAAATCTTTTTTTTCTATAATTTTATTACATAATGTATTGGTGTTTATTTTTTGCTTTGCTCAAAAATTAATTTTTTGTTAATGTGATTTTGTACAGACACAAATAATAATAATAATATTAACGTTTGCAATCTATCATGAATCAGTAAAAGGAAATTAACTAAAATAGTTTGTTAAGAATGGAATCTAACGATTGCCCTTTATCACTTAGATTAACATTGATGTTTTATTTCAATAAATATTTATATATCAACTTATTTCTCTCTTTCTATTCTTACCATCACAATGAATTTAAGTTAGTTTTACATTAACAAGAATGAAAAGAATAAATTTAATCGAACGAGTCATTGTATAAAGTTGTTATTTCTATTTGGTTTTTTAGTATTCACATTTGCATATTAAATAACGATAACGTCGACATTTATATGAAGAATGTATCTAAGCATATATTATTGATTCTTATAGATATTATCATTTCTTTTTTTTTTCGTTTTAATCTTTAGAATAAAGAAAACTTACTATTTATACGACAAGAAAAAACAAATACATCTAGAAATAAAATTTATATTTCAGAGAAGATATTATATTAGCTTATAATTTCTATGAGTCTGTAGAGAGAGCATATAGATCGGTCCCAAAAGAATATTCGCTTACGATTTTCTATGCAGCTAATTTTCATAAGAAAATCATGGCATTTGCCTAAAGAAAAATTTAATATTGAACAATTCATTGTTATATATTAAATTTAAATATTTTTCGACCAAGATATCTAAACAAGGTACCGTAAAAATAAATTATGAAAAGTCTACAATAAATGTTGGTGAGACTTTTCTTCAAATCTATACTGACATTCACACTCATTTCTATCGTCAACCAGATTCAATGAAATCGTTCAATTCATTGAAATCTAGTTTCAACGTATCTGATGCCATTATTGTAGATTTCATCAGTTTGAGTCTTCTACAAATATTCTTTCTCAATGTTTCGAATAGTATATCAAAAGTGATTGAAACATCTGGCGAATCAGTTATAGATTTAGATTCATCACCTGTAACTCATAAAAAATACAAAACAATTAAAACTAGAACAATCATATGAAGAAACCAATGACGCTCACATACTGAACCATACCAGCTTTGCATATGCTACTATACTATCTTCGTGATAGTTCAACTTATGATTTACAATCACAACATAAAATATCCTCCCATCAAACAAAACTAATATATAAGCCATATTAGATCTTCAACAACTTGTACGTAAAACAATCTAATACTGGCTATTTCGATTAATTCTATGATTATCTTGCAACAAGACTCATTTAAAAGAATGATAAAACATTATTTTACTTTTAAGCCTTCGTCGTGAATCACACTTTCACAATACTTCTTCCCCATCCACATCTCTTCTTCGGCAGATGCATGACAGTTTATTACATCAGATAATTAAATGTAATTCATATGAAATACTAAGTAAAGCCAATACACTAGTAAAAACATTCGGGTCACCACCCCTGTCTCCAGCGATGTTTACGAAAAATGCATCAAGACTTTACCTGCGGATTTTTCTTTCGTCATAACATACGGTATCGACGCTCAGTTAATTTCATCGGGAATTTCTCATGATAAGCAATGTTCTTCATCACCCACCGCGTTGATATCAACATTTCTTGAAAACAAAACGTGTTTTCGACAAAAAATACCAAACCTCACCAATTCCTAACGTCAATTCATCCATTCAGATGCTCCAACAACAAGAAAAAATATGCTTCGCTGGATGCTGACTACGAAAAGTATCTCATTGGTACAAAGTGGGGCTTGAAAAAATATGATTGCGTGAAATTCTGGCGTAGCCATCGATGTTGATGTTCTTTTGGTCTTTGACCCTGACACAAACAAGTATACAGACGCATTTTATTTTTTTTTCGTAAGACCCTCCCTACAGTCGAGGGAATTAACAAAAAGGCTGTCGTCAGTAAGATACATCAATATCATCGTTTCATACTTTTGGGGTTTGTTTCGATAGAATATCTATAGGTGATTCGATCATTCTCAACTATGTCTTACCAATGCATTTTGATATGAGTGATTTCTTGAATTCATTCATTCAACGAAATGATTTGCTACACTCAGATATAATTTAGACATTTACTCTAAAATTTTAACATCAATCCGTCGATTGCAGGGAGAGAAAAGGCAATGTCATCGACATAGGCATACCCATTCAAGAACTCGACAGATATCATGCACGACTCTATATGACTTGCTTATTAGTTATTCAAAGCTGTTTTGTATTTATTTCAAGTTACCGCTTGGTAGAATAATGAAAAAACTAAATAAGCATATACAAAGGAAGCAATCATCATTACAAGAATGTGAAGTCCAGTTAGTTCTGTATTGTAAACAGATCAAGTTTGACACGATTTTATCGGTAAGTCTTTATATTTTGGTAGAACGTCTAAAGTTTCGGATATTCCGTTGTAATTGACCAAGCGTGACGCATTATTATAGAATTCTTGCCATTGAGCAGCTAATGTTGGCGTCCACTCAATCTTATTAATCCAATCCACTATTTCTGTATAATTTGATGTTGTCCTATACAGCGAGAAACAAAAATTAACTCATTAACTAGTCGGACTTGGAACTTACAACGCTCGGTTGCTTATGGCGTGCCATGCATCGGGGTGGTTCAGCGTAAAACACGCACCCAGATTGTCTTGGCGAGGATAATAAGTTAATTGATGAAAACACATTTCCTCTGTTGTTCGTTCACCACCCTGACAATGATCAATTAATATATAGATTTATACAAAATGAAATAAATTTACCAATGTAACAGTATTCTTATTCATAGTGTTGTACACACATCGTGTAGCAAATTCGTCGCCCTACAGAAAACATGTCTTATCAAAGTTAAAAATGAATGGGATGATCTTGGCTCTCACCGGATATAGCTTAATTGGTTCTGCTAGTCGATTATCAAATTGATAGTTGAAATCGTATCGCTCAGCATTGAACATGTACTGTACTGCTGTATTATTTCGAATCAATTTCGTCCAAAGTGATGCACCTATATACATATTGATAGTTCAATTTTTATTTCAATGAAACTTTAATATACCTTGAAGATGCGTATGAGCGAATGCAGAAACCACGGTGATGCCAGATTCCGGAATATTCTAAGCGAAAATTCTCTTACTATTTTCCTAGACACGGACAGATTTTTCTGAAAAATATGGAAATATGCATTTAAAAAGGACGACTAGTGATCACACAGTGAGTCAATCTATCAAATTTGACTTAGTAATATTCTATTGAAATGAAACTTGAGTCTAATTCTGCCAATAAGATACGTCGGGAAAGAATGGAGCAATATATATTACGCCGCATTATATTTAATTTTCTATGCAGTTTTATACTTCTAAAATAAAAATAAAGTTAATTTAGTTTTAAGACTATACTAAATGGATTTGATAATGTTTTTTAATATAGAACTGACCAAACTTTTAGCTATCTCGAATAATGAACTATGGATAACAGATGCAAAAAAGTAAATTGATCATTGAAATTGAAAAGGTGTTTTGCTTTTAATAAGAAATAGTTGAGAGAGTTCATGTGAGTTCTAGCACATCCACATATCCAAACAGATTATTGTGCAGTGATTCAATACTTAACATATCGTAAAGTAAAATGTTGTAATGTTAGGTGCCTATACGATATACTGCATTCTAACTCTTAAGTACCCTATATCAAAACTGAGATTTGATAACTCTGGTTCATGATGTTTAAGAAGAAAAAACATGAAATTCAAAGTATACTTTGCTGAATCCACTTGGACAATACGAATCGACATTAAATCGCTCCATGTTTGGTGGAATTGCTAGCGCAAGAGTGTTGACAACAGTTCCGAATGATATATAGCCAATGTCATATTGACGAAGTTCTTCTCCAATGTAAAATCGAATACCCGAATTATCACGACGATCTAAACAAGCAAACACGTTTTTGACATTGTGCTTTTATTCTTTTTAAGATTTTATCGTAAAGTTTTATACTTGGTGTTAGTTTTGGATTATTATAGTGCATCTCAAGCATGTAATATTTCGAGGCAAAATCACCACTAACCGGATAACCAGCTTCTTCTGGAAATTCGACAAGCTATATAGATAAATCATTATTCATGAAATTGAACCTGAAATCAAGTTTTAGAAAGAGAGAGTCTTACCGGCTCACCACCTACTGCCCAAATAGTAGAAGTACCAGTAAAACAAGCAGACAATTCTCGATAATGCTCATCACGTACACCATGAGGGAGATTATTATCATCAAATTTAGCTCTTGGATCACAGGCAAAAAACACAAGGTGATGAACCAAATCGATATTATTCGGGTCGATCAGTGTTTTGTGCTGCAAGAAATGATGAAGTTTCAGATGGTAAAAGGAAAAAACATTAAGAAAAAATTACAGCAATGGCGTGACGTTTTATTGGATATTCAGTCGGCGCTTTGAATACTCTACAATAATAAGTTGTGTCATTGGCTGGAACAACATCCTAAAAGACATGGAGATCGGTGATAATGTCACAGAAGAGGCGCAAGATTAACTCACATTGTTCATACGAAATTCGAAATAATCAAGATCGGTAAACTTTTTTTCTAGTGGTGGATTTGCATACGATTGAAGTGGAATCATGCGTGAACCACGTCGACCTTGATGGTAATTAATATCACCAACTGGATCGGTAAGACCATACGCATATATGACGATGTTCGTTCCAGACTATAATCAAGATTATCACTATAATGAGTATAGCATAGACAATGAATACTCAACTATAATTGAAACATCCATGGGATCGCATGTGTCGAGAGGACGTTTGAATTGAATGGCGGTCCATCCGTCAGATTCACGGCCACGTTGAGCAAGCCAATTGCTAGTTGTGTTATCAATGATCGGTACAGCGAAATCGGATGCATATCGATCCTATGCACTAAAGTTATTTATTCAAATGATATACTATATTTTATCGTACCTGAAAATGAACTTTTCCCATATTATCAACCCATCCAACTCCAATATCAGCACCTTTCATGCCGCCACCTAGAAAAATACTATTCATTGTACAACTAGAGTAGACCGATCAGTCGACATTTTACCTGGACTAATGCCTAACGCTATCCACCCTGTAGTTTTCATGTGCAGTTCAAAAGTGATCTCATTAGCATCAATATCCACTGTCCACCAAAGATCGGCTATATCAGGTTCTAGTTCAGTTGAGTATCTATACGCAGTGAACGGCTGAATAGGACTGGAAATAGCAAGAGCATCTCCGATGATTAATAATAATACAATAAACAGCATTGTTCGAAATGTAACAGCACACCGCGACGTAGTTGCATATATATCAATTCGAAAGATAACAGCATATACTCGTACTATATATGATTCATGTGACATTTAGAATAGATTATTATTATTGTTGAAGCCTTAGGCTTTAAATACAAATCGATGACATACAGGATGAAAGGCCATCTGAATATTTACTCTGACTTATGAGATCGGTGGTGATTAGGCATGTAGCGAACCCGAACTTCAGTTCGGTTTCGAGACCGAAAAGTTCGGATTTGAGTTCGAGACCGAAAAGTTCGGGTTCAGAGCTAAACCGTTCGAGTTTAAAGTTTTATACTAAAATGTCGAACTATTGACTGTTTATCAGACAATAATAATTCTTTTGTATGAAAGGGTAGGTGTGGGTGTGGATGCAAACGAGTAGGGAATAGAAAGATAAATCCACACCCATCCCACCCACACCCTTTGCATAACACATAATTCTTTAGTCTATTTATGCTGTTATAAAAACATACATTGATATTCTCAAAACGACTTTTTCTTTTAAATGTAGTAAAATAAACACCACGCCCTTTTTATTATTCTTTTCACAAGAATGAATAATACTTATAAATCAGATTTAATCGAACGCTCAGAAAAATTCAACTATATTGGACATGAATAACTTTCTAACAAACTCAATCATTTGGATTAATACAGAATTCTATCGATCAGTTGAATATAGAAAGACTCAATCAAACTTAACGTCACATTTGTTAACTGAAGATTCATATGGTTCATTTGTACGCAAAGAGTAGGAAAAGATTGCTATTTTTATCTCTTATAGATTTCCCGTAACAATATTGAATCTTGAGTATATGTTTAAGGAGTGGATGTTAGTGTAGATGAGTCTGACCTTCACATACCTTTAACAACACTTTCGTAATGGCTTAGAGTTATGCGATTATAATATTTGTGCTGAGATACTTGGTGATGCAATTGATGAATATGATCATTGTGCATACGTTACTATCATGAGTATTCCAGTTGAAATCCAGGTTGAACAGTAAGATACGAAAAAAGTTCAGTTTTGGAAAATTCCATAGATTCGTGAAAACATTATTCAAAATCTGAAAACAATCGAATTGTCCACGTAGCATTCCATCAAATGTCTATTCTTCTCAATGGGAATCGACTATAAATTAACAAAAAATCCCGCCACCCTTGTCCGAAACAATGCTTCCGTTCACTTCTGAAAGTCCGAACCATCGCTTTAAAAATAAGAAAGCACTGGAGTCTATATTTCAAAACTATACACTCTTAAATGCCATTTAGCCACTCTTATCAAACACGATTACTACGTTAAATTTCATCTCTGTCAATCAATTCCTCTCAGTATGCAACTGACTAAAGCGATGGACTGGAAAAATCAAATGCTACAAGACGGAAAGTCCTTCTATACTATCTTCGTTATAGTTCATCTTGTTATTTTCAATCACAGCACGAAACGTACTCACATCAAACAAAATTGATAGACATGCCGTATAAGATCCTCAACAACAATCTAAAATCTCGTACGCAAAAAATCCAATATGGGCTATTTCGATCAATTGTATGATTATCTTGCCACAATGCTGATTGAAAAGAATGGTAAAACATTCTTTTGCTCCTAATCCTTCATCGTGAATCAAATTCTGACAATACTTCTTCTCCATTCACATCTCTTCTTCGCTAGATACGTGACAGTTCTTTACATCAAAGAGCTAAATACAATCCATATCAAATACTAACTAAAGCCAACATACTATTAAAAACATTCGGCTCACCACCTCTCTCCATACGTATGTTTACGCAAAATGCATTAAGATTATACACGTACATTTTTTCTTCGCAATAATACACGACAGTAAGGCTCGTCACGTCAACCTCACTAACAAATCCATTCCGCACTGATTAGCCTGCAAGCTTCCATCAGATCAAAGTTAACACATCCGCACTCATCCATTCACACTAAGATCGATGAACAAAAAAATCACGCTCTCCCATACAAACAAAGCAGACGGTAATTCGGAATTTTATTTTTCGCAAGACCTCAATTGAAAACATTGTCCGCACACAAACAATGAAAACGAAGACCATCAAGACCATTAGAAAGAAAACCACGAAAATAGTGACGACATGTTGTAGCATCACGACGCTTAAAAGATTCCCAAACACGATTATCATACCAATAGTTACTATCTCTTCTGCTCCAATTTTCGAGATTGCGGATCCAATCCCAAGTCGTTCGATCACCCGTAAAGTACCAGTCACGGCATTTGCCGCAGTTAGCACAAGGACGACCGTTACAAAAAAGCTTCTCGTAGGTACCAGGTGCAAGAGATTGTTCGTCTGTTAAATAGAAAATAGAAATATAGCATATAGTTTTAACTTAAACTTAACGATTTTATTTCCACGGAGTATGATATAAAATAATTGTTGAAGCATATAGCAAAGAAACTGATGCTTCTGAACCTGCCACACGCATATTGGTATGAAACACGAAATTTATCTATAGATATCAGACACTTTATAACAGTAAAGCTTGGAAATAGAAAAACTTTACTTTTGTTTGGTGAGTTGCGATCTTGTAACTATCAGTATTGAGGGTGTGGATGTAGGTGTTGCTAGGATAGATGGGAGTGTATTTTGGGTGTTGCTAGGGTGAGTGTAGTTGTGTGAATAGTTGAAAACTTGAATATTTGAATTCAACTTTCGTATTTGACACTACTGCTTTATTCTATCTACATACTTTTACCGGCAAGATATTGAGCAATTTGATACATTTATATTAGAACTATGGTAAATCGTGATTCGTGGATGGTATTCTGACTAAGACTTCACATTAATATACCTGTGTTGTATGTTACAGTTTAGTTTACTGTCAATGAAGTTACTTTACTTGCAAAGCTTGTGTTAACTTTGCTAATGTCAGCTTTTGGCAGAATTGAAGTAACAGGTATTTCTATTTGCTTTTTTGCTTCGGTATATATTAAATAACTATCATTAACAGTTGAATAGATATCAAAAATTTTTTATGTATGATTGATTAAATGAATGGAATGGTCATATCGTTTACACATCCAATAAACTCTTGACGATGAGAGTGTAGATTAAGGAGGAGATGCGGGTGATATATTTACTTCTCGTTTACACCCATCTACACTTAGTTTTAGTTTATTGGAAAAGATTCAGAAGAATAATAAGAAGTTTATATCTTTTTAAATTCTGACAAAACTATTCGTAATAGTTGATTGCTTTTAATGCTCATATCTTATTATGACACTGATTAAATAATTACAATTCATCATAAGTATTCTCATTATAATAATTTACTGTTTGAACATTCAAATTGAACTAAAAAGTTCGACTTTTTTTGAAATACTTCAAGAAGACTGCAACAGTATCAAAAGACAACGAACTCAAACTTGACATCTCAGTAGCATCAAAATAAGATCACAAAATCTTCTAAAGTTCAATCAAATATACATAATATTGATGCTTCGAGTTCAAAAATGTGCTTAGATCTCTGAGCATTCAGTATAAGATGAAAAATAAACCATTTACAGATTGTTACGTACTGACTTGAAGAGGTAAATCAATTGATATATTTTATAGATATATTTAAATGAGCTGAAATCTTCGTTTTAAACTTTTCTCAATATAATCTTATATTGAAACAGCTAAAAAACAATATATGAATCCAAGATGAGTGCAAGTGATGAAAATAATACTCTGAACCATACATAAGCTAACTAGCATTCAAAGATCTTGAAAGCTTAGCGCCGAGAATTTTCAGGTAACGTGTCATTATTTTTACTGAAAAATCATACGAAAAGTTTGAAATTTTGTCGTGAAAAAATGAAATGTTTAACAATTCAAACTGTTATTATATCCTCAATGGTTTCCCGTCGAGTCACAACTGATGTCGTTTTAAAAATAACGTTAATCGTTTAAGAACCGTTCTTTAAAACTTATAAATGTAGTTCAGTAGATCTTAAACTCTAATAAGTTTCGTAGGATTTCTTGAAATAACACCAACATAAAATCATTTATATAGACTATGAAATAAATGTTGCTTAATTGTGGGAATAATCCATCAATACGATAAACACCGACATTAATTAAAATTTATTAATGACATCGAAACTGAATATAATAAGAAAATTATTTTAATCTGAGCCAAATTACAATCAAAATGTTCCTTCAAAGATTGGAAAACTCATGTTTTAGCGAACTCCAAATCCCTTTTTCTCAATAAACTTCTCCGTCTCTCTGATTATAACTTTTGAATACAAAAAATAATACTCACCAAATTGACTATCTTTTTTCGATATTTCAGCTAAAGAAGTGCCTGTAGGACACATAATGCCCTTCGATGGCTCGTCAAGTAGACTGGATGGAGGTTCTTCCAATATTCCAGGTATCGAAGTGCTTGTAGGAATAGCCATTGCCTTCGACGGTTCTTCAAATAAACTGGATGGAGGTTCGTTTGGTATTTGGGGGACAGGAGTGCTTGTAGGAGACGCAGTTTCCTTCGACGATTCGTCAAGTAAACTGGGTGGACGTTCTTCCGATATTCCAGGTATCGAAGTGCTTGTAGGAATAGCCATTGCCCTCGACGATTCTTCAAGTAGACTGGATGAACGTTCTTTCGGTATTTGAGGGACAGGAGTGCTTGTAGGAGACGCAGTTTCCTTCGATGATTCGTCAAGTAGACTGGATGGACGTTTTTTCGGTATTTGAGGTAGAGAAGTGCGTATAGGTAATGCAATTTCCTTCGATGATTCTTCAAGTGAACTAGAAGGAGGTTCTTCGGATATTTCAGGTACATTAGTGCTTGTAGGACATGGAATTTCCTTTGATGGCTCTTCGAGTAGAGGGAATGGAGGTTTTACTTGCCTCAGTTCAATAATAATCAATTCAGGATCCTTCTTTGATGGTTGGAAATGACTTGCGACAATAAATTGACTGCCAGGAAGAAGAAGTATTTCATCTTCCTCTTCAAACGAAGAATGTTGACGAATTTTTTTTCCATTAAAACATTTTATACTAAATAAGGTTCGTTTGCCTTCTTGACCAAGGAAGCATTCTGACTCTAGAACTGATATTGACTCAGCACAGCTCGAAAAACCCCACCATGTAATTGTCGCGCCTACTTTATATTCAAGTCGTAAGTCGAGGCGAACACCTCGCCATACAGTTCCATTAAAATCAGGTAGTTTAAAAAGCGCTGTTAATAATAACTTCATATACGGTAACCATGGTTGAATGAGTTTATCGCGATTTTTAGACCGTAAAACAGAGTTCAGAACGGCATAGAGGCATTGATTAACTGGTAGCCATTCAGTGGTATAAAGATAAATAGCTGCAGATTCGTCCTCTGTGAGGCCATCTTTGTATGAATCACAGTTGCCTTTCGCGATATAAGCCCTTCGTTGTACATCAGGACAAAGCGTTACAATCGGCTCGATGGCTTCTTCAAGTGTAGCCAACGAAAGAGATCGGTAACCTTCGATAGGCTGAAGAAGTTTGCGTGGTTCTTTACCAACATCCATAAAACGATCCATGTTATGTAGTCTATGAGAATGAAGGAGCGAATAACTAAATGAATTAAATGCGCCTCTTTCTTACTCCTAGTAGTACAATGAGAATAGAATAACTGATGTGGTATTTATTTTGTCTACGATAGAGACGTTGAGATAAAAAACGACAGTTGGTAATTTTTGTCTTCTTAAAAGTATGCTGCGCTTATCTCAAGACTATGAAAACCTTTCAAATGCACGTAATCTACCTAGACAAGGAAAGCAATACAACAACATAGCTTCTCCTCGTGTGTGACTCCAAAAAAGATGCCTGTATTTTGGTGTCTGCACAATATACCTGAGTTTTTTCTGCGTCATGTTGGACAAAACCAACCTTCACTTTTCGAAAACTTACAACTAACTATTCTGTTGTTTAATAATTGATATTTCAAGTCCAAATTATTTCCAATCACTGTCAAGAAAAAAGTTTAGTGTAATACTACTATTAACTTATCAGAAAACGATCATGTAATGAGAAGAATAAGCATAAAAAGAAAAATAATTACTAACACCATCGTTAAATTTAATTCAGTCTACTATATATTACAGCTTTCATTCATATTTGAAATCAAGTTCTTATCACAAATGTTGTTTATGATCACTTAAAAGAAGAAGTTCAAACTATATATATTTTGCTTATAAACTATGTCTCCTCCTTCTATAGATGACTCTAGCGTACAGCCATTAACCCATTGATTTCACTCATTAAAAAACAATAAATC